ACGGCCTATTCATCGTACCGAGGCTCTCGTTTCCAAGCCTATTCGTCACCACAACAGACCTATCCTCATACTTTCCTACTACGCTTACAAGATCCGGATTTAAAATATTCTCATTAAACATCTCTCCATCCTTAGGGCGACCCTGCTACCAGCACCATTTTCTCTTAAATTCCTCTAGTGGACTACAGACATGACCGTAACCTCAAGGACATTTTAGTCAAGAGTCGGTTACGGCCTCCTTCATAGTCCTACTTCGGCACTGTCTCTTGCCACAGACCTGTATACAGGACTTGTCTATATGTGGTTTAGCAGACAAGTCTGGAATTCACGAATGCTACCTTCCGCATGCGTGAAGCATTCTACTGCACGAGCCGCAATGTCATTTACACCAATAACTGCAAGAGATGTGGCGTGAAATACATCGGTGAAATAGGTCTACGATTCGCTGACAGGTTCAAACATCTTTTGGGTGTGCAGAACGGTGCCTTGAAACCAGGAAAATTGCACTTCAGTTCCTAGGACAACAAAGGTGTACACGACATGGAGGTGACAGCCGTCAAATCTAGCCACTCCAGCGACTGAGCCCGCAAGTCTCTTGAAAATCGCTTCATTTTCACTTTGGGCACTTTAACACCCAGAGGACTGAACTGCCAACACAGTTTCATCTAAAATCCTTGAGGATTGAACTATTCACACAGTTTTATCTAAGATAAGATACTAAGCTAAGTGATTTTGTGTATGTGTGTGGTATTGTATTATTAATATATGTGCTGATGAAGGCTCCATAGCCGCAACCTTCAGGTTTTGTGTTCTTTATATTGTGAAGCCTGTTGATATACTTACTGTTCGGTTTTTTCTTGAGTCGAAGAATGGCACGAGTTAAAACGTTTACAAGCAGCGGTTACTCACAACATGTGTTTTTAAAAAAAGAGACTTTCTGTACCAAAGACAACACAAATGTTAAATGGAAACAGACTCTAGACATGGTGAAAACTGGCATGACTGATAGAAAGAGGACAAGGGAAACAGTTTCAAACACATAAAGGACGCTTTTCCAAGACTTCAGTCATATTGGGCATACAGAGCTAAGCCTTTTTTTTAAATATAAAATAGTCGGTACTTGCTTGATGTCGTGGTCAGCGTCGCGTCGGCCGCCTTTACTGTCCAAGACTATACCTGCTATTCATTCAAGGCTGGGTCGACTTGGGAGTAAGGGTTATTACTGAAAACAGTCCCGTTCCGTTAGGACGCGACTCCAAGGCCATACCATCCGTAGGCGAGCATCTAGCCGCTACACCACGGACGCTCCCACAGGGAAAAAGCACTGAGATAAATACTTGGATGACTCGGCCACGTGCATGGGGTGCTACAAGAGCACCATTCGATTCAAAATTCTGCTGAACATACAGGAGGCCGAATAATGACTGCCAGTTATCTTCGTCATGACACATGATGATAATAACTCTGCAAAAAGGGAGGGGAAGGGGTGAGGCGATTTTTTTTCTAAGACTGAAAAAGTAGCGGTGGGCACATAAGGTTGGCGAAACTCTGGTTGAGTCATTTTACTGACGCAGCTCCCAGAGAGTAAACAATTTTAATTGTTATGAGATTTAGAAATCACATTAGTAGAAGTCCATCCCCAAGAATTCCGCTTTGTCTGCTGCAGGATGAAATTCACAGGGGAGACATCAACAAACCGCTTCACCGGTGACGTCACGGGGTAACTCAATTACACTGGAGCAGATGGCGGGGTCCTAGCGATGTCCAAGTTGTTTCCAAACACTTTCCCTGACCGAGAGTTCGGGGTAGCTTAGTGTTTTGGGGGAAATCGCATTTGTGTCCTTGGGGAAACTAGTTATTTCTGAGTGCATATGCCGCGATGGGCATTCTGGTGAAGCAACAGAGAGGGATAATCACAGCATAGAGGGGTTTAAGACGTGCCTGGTGATCTACACTTGCATCCACAAGGGTGGGAAACTTGATTTATGACGGAGAGACAATCTAGAGGATTGTTCTAGAAGCCAAACTCTGGACATTCGATGCATTTTCTGGATGGTGAAATAAATCACCTTTTCTCCTCACGTGAGTGGTGCATTGTGCATATGATGCTAAGCTAGGGTTACCATGATCTCTTGAGCTGCAAGCGGGACACCCAACTCGTATCTTCAGCTGAAAACGGGACATCTAATATATTGAGCTCAAAACGGGACATATAATATTTTGAGCTGAAAACTGGACATCAAATATATTAGCTTAAAACTGGACATCTAATATATTCAGCACAAAACGGGCCATCTGACTAATATATTGGGCTGAAAAAGGGACATCTGACTAACATCTTGAGCAGAAAACGGGACATCTAATATATTGAGCGGAAAACGGGACATCTGACTGATACATTGGGCTGAAACTGGGACATCTGACTAATATCTTGAGCTGACAACGGGACATCTAATTTATTGGGCGGAAAAATGGACATCTAAAATCTTGAGTGGAAAACGGGACATCTAATATCTTGAGTGGAAAACGGGACATCTGACTGATACATTGGACTGAAAACGGAACATCTGAGTAATATCTTGAGCTGAAAACGGGACATCTGAGTAATATCTTGAGCTGAAAACGGGACATCTAATATCTTGAGCGGAAAACAGGACATCTGAAATCTTGAGCGGAAAACGGGACATCTAATATCTTGAGCGGAAAACGGGACATCTGACTGATAAATTGGGCTGAAAATGGGACATCTGAGTAATGTCTTGAGCTGAAAACGGGACAACTAATATCTTGAGAGGAAAACGGGACATCTAATATCTAGAGCGGAAAACGGGACATCTAATATCTTGAGCGGAAAACGGGACATCTAATATCTTGAGCGGAAAACGGGACATCTGACTGATATATTGGGCTGAAAACGGGACACCTGGGGAATATCTTGAGCTGAAAACGGGACATCTAATATGTTGAGCGGAAAGCGGGATATCCAATACCTTTAGCGGAAAACGGGACATCTCACTAATATTCTGAGCTCAAAACCGGACTTCCCAATAATATTTTGAGCTGCGAGTGGGACAACCCACCAGTATCTATAGCTGAAGACGGGAATCCCACTAATATCTTCAGCTGACAACGGGACATCTGGCTACTATCCTTAGCTGAAATGGGACATACACTAATTTTCTGAGCTAAAAGCGGCTGATTTCACCAACATTTTGAGCTAAAACGGGACATCTCAGCAAAGAAAATTATTGTAGAATGCATTATTATTATTATTATTATTATTATTATTATTATTATTATTATTATTAATATTACTGTGAATCATTAAGGCCCAGGCAAATCGTATGAACCACAAACATGAATAAATATTCTCAAGAGGATTGCTAGACTTTGATCAAACGGGACAACTGGCGTTTTCTTTCTTTCTGGAGTACCAACGGAACGGCAAGGACAGACTTTCAACGACGGGTCGGTCCGGGTGAAAATGGGACATACGGTTACAATACTGGACTCATTTGTATAGATCAGTTGCGATTCGATGAGTGATTGTTGTGAATCATCTGTAGGAGTACAAATACAGTTTATATGAATGTGTATGAATAGACATGGGCAGCCGGAGTGAGGGCTGTTCAGTCATGAAAGGCATGCTGGGTAAGTGGCAGAACAGATATCTCGTGGACAGGAAGCTGTGATACCGGAAATACTGCTTTTATGTGTGTTCTGCCGGCAACAAACAGGCGCGAGAAAACGTGCAAAACACAGAACTACTTGCGAATTAGGGTCCGAGTTATTGAGTTGTGATCACGAGTTGCTGAAAGTCCGAGCAAGCGACTGGACGTTCTTCCACTTATCTGAGTCTGTAAGATCCACGATAATCCCCCCCCCCCCCCCCCCCACGTTACACACTAGCTGACTTCTGGTTGGTCGACCTCCAGTCACCCGACCTTCGCACACTGCTAGGGGGTTGTTAGGCAATGCGTTGATATCTCATGTTGTATATTTAAACACGCCAGCGCTTTTAACACTACAAAAACATTTACAAACTGGATCTTACCCACAACTCCCTTAGAGAGTGCTGCCACCTAGGTCACAGGCAAACGAGTCTAAAAAAATGTATCAACGGAACGCGACCGAGTTCGGTTAGGGAGATTATTGTGGACCTCACCTCTGAGACCAATAAAGGTGTCGACACAGACGAGAGGTAAACGTAAATGCAAGACAAGCCAGAAAAGACAGCATAGCTATAACCCCCTCCCCACCACCCCCGACAGCAAACGAGTCTAAAAAATGTATCCAGAGAATTCTCTGACCGAGTTCGGCTAGGGATATAATCGTGCACCTCACCTCTGAGACCAATAAAGGTGTCGACACAGACGAGAGGAACCGACTTGCGCCATCAGGTTGCACCGTCCCAATTTCGGCGTTTCTTCGGGGTTTTAAGCTGCTTTTGCGGTGTACAGAAGAATCTCGTCTGGGTACGTTGCGCCCTTGTAAAGGCAGAAGAGATCCCATCGAACATTAATCCAGCCTTCAGAGAAACTCTGGCCCGGCTTGTGAGCCGTTAGTATCCGAAAGTCGGGTTCTGAGAGGAGCTGAATGTTGAACTAAGATCTACATGATAACACTCGGTAAACCCTCATCAACGTCCCTTCCCTGTCTTCCAACTCCTATTGCATCAGCATCCGTCTCGAAATTCACTTGAGTGTTAAGCGTCTGTCAGATCTCCTGCTAACACCTCACACCGCCATTCTCCTCAGACCGTAATGATCTATTTGTGTCTCCGCACTGTTCACTCGCTCCCAAAGGGCCCTCACAACATCTAGCTTCTCATAATTAATTCAACACCGGGTGGTGCAGAACCAGCTAGTCTATCTACTTGCTCGTTTCCCAGCAGGAAGCAACGGGTGAGCAAGCATGAATGACAGGTCAGCCAGTGTGTATTTGGGCCGAAAAACGTAATAAGAACCGGTAGAGAAACACCATGCTGGTTACACACTCACCTAAGCCAATCACCAGATATGTTCCGTTCATCTCCATCTGCAAGCGGATCTTCTCCACCTTGCTGTAGTTGGACGGGTACAGAAACAACATGCTCGTCAGGCAGGCTAGGATGAAGAGGACCACCGTGGCAAAACTGACAGTATGAACCGCGTCCACGGGAGTCACGTGAGTAAATGGCGTTTTACATTCGGAGGCTAATGACAGGTGACAAATGTTTTTGGAGCGTTATTTTGTTTCAATCATCGTTATCAATTATAGAGTAATAATAATAATAATAATAATAATAATAATAATAATAATAATAATAATAATAATAATAATAATAATAATAATAGTCAGAAGAAGAAGAAGACAAAGAAGAAGTAGTAGTAGCAGAAGAAGAAGAACAAGAAGAAGAAGAAGAAGAAGAAGAAGAAGAAGAAGAAGAAGAAGAAGAAGAAGAAGAAGAAGAAGAAGAAGAAGAAGAAGAAGAAGAAGAAGAAGAAGAAGAAGAAGAAGAAGAAGAAGAAGAAAAAGAAGAAGAAGAAGAAAAAGAAAAAGAAGAAGAAAAGAGAAAAAAGAAGGAGAAGGAGGAGGAGGAGAAGAAGAGGAAGAAAAACAGACAGGTAGACAGACAGACAGACAGACAGACAGACAGACAGACAGACAGACAGACAGACAGACAGACAGACAGACAGACAGACAGACAGACAGACAGACAGACAGACAGACAGACAGACAGACAGACAGACAGATAGATAGATAGATAGATAGATAGATAGATAGATAGATAGATAGATAGATAGATAGATAGATAGATAGATAGATAGATAGATAGATAGATAGATAGATAGATAGATAGATAGATAGATAGATAGATAGATAGATAGATAGATAGATAGATAGATAGATAGATAGATAGATAGATAGATAGATAGATAGATAGATAGATAGATAGATAGATTATATTATATTAGATAAGACAGACAGACAGACAGACAGACAGACATACAGACAGACAGACAGACAGACAGACAGACAGACAGACAGGCAAATGGACGGATAGACAGACAAACAGACAGGCAGGCTGGCGGACAGACAGAAAACAAAATTAATCAGAAACCTACTACTTACGGCAGTCATACAACTGAAACTCTAACGCATAGAGTAGGAAGTAACAGCCCCCGTACGCCCAACAGTAGCTGTTCAACATTATAGAGTGCTCTTGCAGAACGCTGAAGAACACAAACAGAGCTACGTTAGACAGTGCTTCTGCAGAACGCTCAAGAACACAAACAGAGCTACGTTAGACAGTGCTCCTGCAGCACGCCGAAGAACACAAACAGAGCTACGTTAGACAGTGCTCCTGCAGAACGCTCAAGAACACAACCAGAACTAGACACTGCTCCTGCAGAACGCTGAAGAACACAAACAGAGCTACGTTAGACAGTGCTCCTGCAGAACGCCGAAGAACACAAAAAGAGCTACGTTAGACAGTGCTCCTGCAGCACGCTCAAGAACACAAACAGAGCTACGTTAGACAGTGCTCCTGCAGCACGCTCAAGAACACAAACAGAGCTAGACACTGCTCCTGCAGCACGCTGAAGAACACAAACAGAGCTACGTTAGACAGTGCTCCTGCAGCACGCTGAAGAACACAAACAAAGCTACGTTAGACAGTGCTCCTGCAGAACGCTGAAGAACACAAACAGAGCTACGTTAGACAGTGCTCCTGCAGCACGCTGAAGAACACAAACAGAGCTACGTTAGACAGTGCTCCTGCAGAACGCTCAAGAACACAAACAGAGCTACGTTAGACAGTGCTCCTGCAGCACGCTGAAGAACACAAACAGAGCTACGTTAGACAGTGCTCCTGCAGCACGCTGAAGAACACAAACAGAGCTACGTTAGACAGTGCTCCTGCAGAACGCTCAAGAACACAAACAGAGCTACGTTAGACAGTGCTCCTGCAGCACGCTGAAGAACACAAACAGAGCTACGTTAGACAGTGCTCATGTATGTATGCTGGTAAAAAAAACCCGACACAAATATTAGTACCATGGGGGAACATGTGGTTGGGGGCGGGGGGAGGTGGTTGGGGGCGGGGGGAGGTGGTTGGGGGGGGGGGGGGTCGCGATACAGGAACCAGTGGACTCAGCCATGTCCAGACAACCACCCACCTCCGAACAGCCACGAACAGACTTCTCTTTTTACATATTTGCTTGAAAATATATTAATTTAAATATTATTTTTACATTCAGCACATACTAATAATAATAATATTAATAATAATAATAATAATAATAATAATAATAATAATAACAATAATAATAAATTGTAATAATAATAATAATAAAATACTAATATTATTATTATATCAATAATAACAATGCGCTCTCAAACATGGCTTATATATTTTGAGGCCTGCAACTCCGTGATGTCTTCACTTTGACGTCGCTAGCTATATAACTAATTGACTATCTTATCTAACTAACTGAGTATTTAACAAGCTAACGGACTGTCCGTCTAACTGACTGTCTGACTTTCTGACGCGTGTAATGTCCAGTGTTGCCACTTTTCTTTGACAAGAAACATCCAAAACGGAGTCAAGAAATATCCAAAAACATCTTAATTTGCGCGGAAAACATCTAGAAAAAACATACAAATGGAAGGACTCACAAATTACCTAGCAATTGATATGACTTAGCCTATAGAATAATGTCCTCATCTTTACTGGTCTGCCTTAAAAGATCCACGGGATAAACTTAGCTTGGATGATGAAGCTGGCTGGAGCTTCAGATCGAAAATGACTCTGGTAGGCTTTAGCTGTTCCAATTTCTTTTAATACCAATTCAGGGAGCTGATAAGTGGAACAGCCTTTTTCTACTCTTATCAGGCAAAATTGTATTGTCAAGATAGCAATTAAGAGGTCAAATGTATCCTGTTTCTTAGGTTAGATTTGATAAATTCACTCTGAATGACAAACCTCTAGAAAAACATCTATCATCTAAACGTCACAAACGCCATCTAAATGCAAGGAAAAAGATCTAAATCTGGATGTACAACATCCAAAGTGACAACACTGGTAATGTCTAGGCTCCCGACCCACCTTGTAATGCGCCTGTCCGACACGCATACTTGCTGAATGGTCTAGGGCCAGGGGTTTTCAAATCTTTTTTTGCGGCGACTCTTTGATACAGTTCCTCGTGTGGTGGTGTCCTCCAGCCATATAAAAATGTTTTTTGTTGCTACTTCGTAACTTCAGAGAATATGTGTTTTCTGATTGTCGAGCGACCCCTGTGAAAGGGTCTTTCGACCCTGCAAAGCGGTCGTGACCCAAAGGTTAAGAACCGTCGAGCTAGGGTTCACTCAGTAATGTCTAAACTCACATATAACAGCTCCCGCCCAACAGTAACAGATGACTCTCAACACAGGTCTACCGCCCAAGACTATACACTATACAAAGACTATAATATGCATCACAAGATCTGATTGACATAATACTACAGCCATTCTTCCTTCTGCAACATGTACGCATTGAGGACGCTGCACTGGAACACTCCTTCTGTAACTTGTACGCATTGAGGACGCTGCACTGAAACACTCCTTCTGTAACTTGTACGCATTCAGGACGCTGCACTGAAACACTCCTTCTGTAACTTGTACGCATTTAGGACACTGCACTGAAACACTCCTTCTGTAACTTGTACGCATTCAGGACACTGCACTGAAACACTCCTTCTGTAACATTGAGCATTTAGGATGCTGCACTGAAACACTCCTTTTGTAACATTACGCATTTAGGACGCTGCACTGAAACACTCCTTCTGTAACATTACGCATTTAGGACGCTGCACCGGAACACTCCTTCTGTAACATTACGCATTTAGGACGCTGCACTGAAACACTCCTTCTGCAACTTGTACGCATTTAGGACGCTGCACTGAAACACTCCTTCTGTAACATTACGCATTTAGGACGCTGCACTGAAACACTCCTTCTGTAACATTACGCATTTAGGACGCTGCACTGAAACACTCCTTCTGCAACATGTACGCATTCCGGACGCTGCACTGAAACACTCCTTCTGCAACATGTACGCATTCAGGACGCTGCACTGGAACACTCCTTCTGCAACATGTACGCTTTGAGAACGCTGCACTGAAACACTCCTTCTGCAACATGTACGCATTCAGGACGCTGCACTGAAACACTCCTTCTGCAACATGTACGTATTCAGGACGCTGCACTGAAACACTCCTTCTGCAACTTGTACGCATTCAGGAGGCTGCACTGGAACACTCTTTCTGCCATAACTATGTCCCAGTGGTTGCAACGGGCTATCAGTACCCGATCGCGCAAATCTACCTCTACTGCCGATGTACAATGTCTTACGGAACCTAGCCATACCTCACGTCGGGAGCCTGTTAGATTACCGAGAGATATGCTACCTATTTTACATCACGATCCAATCATGCTATAACCCGGTTACTGCCGCAGACTACATAATCACACGATTTAGTCACCCAGCGTGATACATAGCTGCACAAGTCTAGCCTGGCAACACCGACTAAAACCTACTTTCACACACGTCCACAAAGCTTCCAGATAATGTGTGTGTGTGTGTTTGTGTGTGTGTGTGTATGTATGTATATATATGGACTATATTTACAAGGACAGCCTTCATATATTCATATATTGCTCACTACTATCTTACTAATAACTAACTAAATAACTAGCCAACTAGTCAAATACTTGTCTAACTAAATAACTAACTAACTAGTCAAATACTTGTCTAACTAAATAACTAACTAACTAGCTAACTAACTAGTCAAATACTTGTCTAACTAAATAACTAACTAACTAGCTAACTAGTCAAATACCTGTCTAACTAACTAACTAACTAACTAACTAGCTAACTAGTCAAATACCTGTCTAACTAACTAACTAACTAACTAACTAGCTAACTAGTCAAATACCTGTCTAACTAAATAACTAGCTAACTAACTGTAAAGTGCCGGACAACAGAGAGCTTCACCTAACCTATAAAACGCCGGGCAGTGGATGGCGATGATCCGCTCCATGAGAATCATGATGAAACAGCTGATGCAGACGATGTCCATGCTCCACGGGAGGGCAAATCGGATCCTGGGACACATCAGAATTGTTGGTTACAGAATACTGTCATAGAAAAATACATGCACGTAGGCTGACAGGTAGCGCACAGGCAGGCTTGCAGGTAGCGTGCAGGCAGGCTGACAGGTAGCGCAAAGGCAGACTGACAGGTAGCGCGCAGACAGGCTGACAGGTAGCGAGCAGGCAGGCTGACAGGTAGCGAGCAGGTAGGCTGACAGGTAGCGGGCAGGCAGGCTGACAGGTAGCGCGCAGGCAGGCTGACAGGTAGCGCTGGCAGGTAGCGAGGAGGCGGGCTGACAGGTAGCGCGCAGGCTGGCTGACAGGTAGCGCGCAGACAAACTGACAGGTAACGGGCAGGCAGGTATGTACGTATGTAACTAGACAGGCAGGCAGGCAGGCAGACAGACAGACAGAGAGACAGACAGACAGACAAACAAAATGACAGACAGACAGAATCACAGACAAACAGAGAGACAGACAGACAGAATGAACGAACGAACGAACTTTATTTTTCAAAAGGTCACAAATTGGGCACGCAGGCCCGTCTCACATTCGGCGCTTCCAAATACCCGTCTTTCACACAGCAGCTGTATTTTATCCATAAGCGTGTTATATTTATATGATAATATGCATTTTATGAATATTAAAAAAAGAGAAGAAAAAAAAAGCACAAAAGCATGGGTGGTAAAAATGCACGCACACACACACCCACTCATTTAAACACACCCACATACCTTCACATACACATAAACACACCCCATTCACCCACATGCATAGCTACATACCCACACAGACACGCACATTCTACACACATACAAACATACAGATATAAACACAGAGACACACCCATAGAAACAAATGCAGACACACACACAAGCTTACATACGCGCACATACCCAATCACACACGCTGATACACACACACAGCCACACACATGCGACACACACACACACACACAAACCAACTTAAACACACACGCAGACACATATGCACAAACACACGCAGACACAAACACAAACAGTTACACTCGGAGACACACAAGCACACACACACACACAATCGCAGACACACACACACACACACGCACTGATGCTCACTCAGACACACACACACAACCATAGACACACACGCGCAGAAGCATACGCAGGCATTCATACACACAGGCACACGCACAGATACACGCAGACACACACCCACAGACACATAAACGCAGACACATACGCAGACATACATATACACAGGCACACACGCAGATACACATACACATACATGTTGACACATCCAGAGACACTACACACAGAAATACACACAGACAAACACACACACACACACACACAGACATACACAGATATATACACACAGAGACGCGTATATACACAAGCATTCCCGCAGACACACATACACATATAGGCACATACAAAGACACACACACAAACACAACAAAGACATACACATACAAACACACGCAGGCAAACACACAGCTACATACACAAACAAACACAAACAGACACACATACATAGATACACACCAACAGACACACAATACAAATATCCTTACACACAGAGACGCACGTATACACAGGTATTCATGCCAACACAAAAATACACACAGGCACATACCAACACACACCCACACACACAAACACAACAAAGACACATACACATAGAACACACAGACACGAAAACACATTCACAGGCACATTCAGACACAGACACACACAGATACACATGTAGACACACAGTCATATACACACATACACACGCACAAACACACACAAACATACACACATAGATACACACCCACAGACACCAAATACTAACACACGCAGACACAAAGATACACACTGACAAACACACACAGACACATACACAGAGACGCACAGGCAGTCATGCACACATAGACACACTTTGCATACATACACAGACAATTGCTCACAGACATATACACACAGACACATACACACAAAGACACGCATGCAGACACTCACACACAGAGATACACACAGAAACATAACGAGGCGCACGCACACACAAACAAACACACGCATACACACACAGACACGTAAACACAGACACGCCTACACAGAGACATAATCACACACAATCCCACACACACACACAGTCACACGCACATGTAGACATAGAGGCGCACATACACACATTCACTCAACAACTTATACAATTACCGATACACACACTCATACATACACAAACATGCCTACACATCCACATCACCTATTTACATGCCGCACATACATACACATCTTATAAACCTTTTCAAATTATAAACTGGTAATGCAAAATGGATTAAAAATTACATTTAAGGTGGCATATAATCACTGGTAAGCATGAAATGAAAAAGTTTGCGGTTAAATAAATAGGAACTTTTTGTATTTTTCAGATTAGGTGGTAGCTGGTTCCATAAATGAGCAGCAGAATATGCTAAACTTGTTTTAAATAAATCTATTCTAGGTTTAGGTAAATGTCATAAGTTTAGCCTCTTTCTGTTCGTAGGATTAGATTTGATCAACTGGAAAAGGTAGTTTGGAGTATTTTGAGATACAATTTTATGAATAAATTTAGCTTTGTTAAAATTAAACGTTTACTCAGTGGCAGAAGTCTTAGATGGCTATAGCGATTATTTTTGTCGGTATATTTTCTATCTGAAACCATGCGTAAAGCACGATTTTGAAGGGAACTTCTTTAAACATTAGATTTAGCACAACCATCCCACACCGTGGAGCAATAGTCGACATGTGTTTGGATGTAGGAAGCGTAACATTTTTTTCGCGTATCTTCATCCAGGAAGTGCAGATAGATAGAACGAACGAACGAACGAACGAACAAACTTTATTTTCAAAGGGTTGAGAATTGGGCACACAAGCCCGTCTTACATTCTGCCCTTCTGGCCTCACGCCGTGCATACATTATTCATGCACACATTGTTTTAGCAGATAATAATAATAGTATTCATAAGCATCATTAACAACATCTTTGTAACAATGTACTCTAAGTATGCCCACATTTTAAAACAGGGATAATACTAAATGTAATAAATCTTGGTGGAAATCAACAATTTTCTCATGAAACTATTATCTTCTAAGGGGGCATGTAGTCTGAAGTGAGATAATATTCAAAAAGCTCACAATTGTATTTATAGGGGTTGTTGATATTTTTGATTGGTTGTGGAAGATTGTTCCACAGATGAGCTGCAGAGTACGCCTAGCTTGTTTTGTACAAGTCTATTCTAGGTTTAGGGATGTGTAATAGGTTTAGGCGTTTGCTATGTCGCCCATTATACTTAAAGAATGGCAAAAGGTAATCGGGAGCATTTTTGGATAAGATTTTGTGAATGACTTTGGCCTTATTGAGAAGTAGTCGTTTATGGAAGGGGAGTAACTTAAGATCTTTATGTATACTGGAAATGTCTCTTCCATGATTATTACTGACTAAGCGTACAGCTCTTTTTTTAAGTGCTTTAAGCCGTTTCATGACTGAACTTGGACAGCCATCCCATACTGTGGAGCAGTAGTCTAAATGGGTTTGAATATGGGAGGTGTAAAATATCCTTCTGGTGTTTTCATCCAGAAAGTGTTTAATTTTTGCAAGCTGGTATACTTTTTAGCTGTTTGTTTCACTAGAGCTTGCACATGAGAAGTGAAGGTTACATTTCTATCAATAATTACGCCTAAAGCTTTATGCTCAGTTACACATTCTACTGGGTTGTTACTGATGTAGAGCTGAAGCGTATTATGTGCAGATAAAGAATTTAGTTTTTGTCTCGTTGATATTAAGATGCATTTTGTTTTACTAATGTTTATTTGCACGCGGTTTGCATTGCTCCAGGAAACCACATTGTTTAATTCCTGTTGTAAAGATGACTCTAAAATATCACACGTTTGAGCACTTGTATAGACTGTACAGTCATCTGCAAATAAATCACACGGCGACGACAGACACAAAGGAAGATCATTTATTTAAATGGCAAATAACAGAGAGCCAAGAATAGAGCCCTGGGGTACTCCAGTATTCACCACAGTAGTCTGCGACAGGGATTTATTATATGAAACTACCTGTTTCCTATTTAACAGAAAGGATTTTAATAACGTGAATAGATTACAATTGAAGTTCATTATTTCAAGTTTTCTAATAAGGATAGTATGGTCTATCATGTCAAAGGCTTTTCTAAAGTCTATAAACACGCACCCAGCTATTTTATCTTCGTTAATATTCTGATGCCAGTTTTCTATCATGTTTGTTAAAGCTTTATGGCACGAATACTTTAGTCAAAATCCTGATTGGTTATCAATTATGAGTTTTTTATTATCTAGATGTTGGAGTGTTATTTTGTGAATGTGTTTTTCTAGCCGCTTTGATAATGATGATAATAAGGAGATGGGTCTATAGCTACTTGGGAGACTACTGTCCAAAGAGCCAGATTTGAGATGAGGATATGCTTTGGCAATTTTGAAGGCTGAAGGAAAATAGCCTTTGGCAAGACACTGGTTATATATAAAAGTTAACGACTTGCAAACGACTGAAGCAGCACACCGAAGGATCCTATTGCTGATTCCCTCTAAACCTGGAGCATTGTTGTTTTTTAGACAGGTGAGATATGTGAATACTTCAGTAACTGACATGAGCGGCATGTCGGAAGGAATATCATTTGAGCATTTAGTCTCACAAAACGAGGACAGCAAGGACAAATCACACGGAGAATGTGGTATAGAAGCCTTCGACTGTTCTATATCTGTTTGAAAGAAGTTACTGAAATCGTCTGATGTAACATGGTTTGATATAAACAAACGTGATAAATTGTTTCTGTTAGTCAAGGTGTTAATTGCCTTCCATATATCTTTACTGTTTGTTTTACCTGTTACTAAT